AAGAAAGTTTTTTAAAAGTTTGAAACAAATTAAAACTGGAAACAACATACCTATGGTATACAGAAAAAGTAGTGCTAAGAGAGAAGTTGATAGCAATAAATGCCTACATCAAAAATGTAGAAAGGCTACAAATTACCAGTTGAAAGATGAACCTCAAGCAACTTGAAAAGCAAGAACAAACCAAACAGTGGCAGAAAAAAAGAGGGAACAAAGATCAGAACAAAACTAAATGAAGACTAAAATGACAATACAAAAAGATTAACAAACCAAAAAAATTGGTTCTTTGAAAAGATAAATAAAATTGATAAATGGCTAGCTAGACTAACCAAGAAGAGAGAAGACCCAAATAAACAAAATTAGAAATGAAAAAGAAGACATTACAACTGATGGTACAGAAACATAAACAGTCATCAGAGACTATGATGAACAATTATACACTCACAAACTAGAAGACATAGAGGAAATAGATAAATTCCTGGAAACATACAACCTACCAAGATTGAATCAGGAAGAAATAGAAAACTTGAACAGACCAATAACAAGTAGTAAGATGGATACAGTAATAAAAATCTGCCCCCATCATCACCACCAAAATAAAAGGCCAGGCTTAATGGATTCACAGCCAAATTCTACCCAGCTCTGCATACAAAGAAGAACTAATCCTGAAACTATTCCAAAAAATTGAGAAGAATGGATTCTCCCTAAACTCATTCTATGAGGCCAGTATCACCCTGATACCAAAACCAGACGAGAACCCAACAAAAACAGAAAACTGCAGACCAATATTCCTGATGAATAGATGCAAAAATCTGTAACAGAATACTAGCAAACAAAATCCAACAGCACATCAAAAAGGTAACACACCATGATAAAATCAGTTTTAAACCATGGATACAAGGATGATTCAACATCTGTAAATCAATAAATGTGATACATCAACAAAATGAAAGACAAAAATCATATGCAGAAAAAGCATTTGATAAAATTCAACATCACTTCATTATAAAAATCCTCAACAAACTAGGCATAGAAGGAACATACTTCAGAACAATAAATGCCATATACAAAAATTCCACAGCTAATACTATACCTAATAGAAAAAATTGAAAGCAGTTCCCCAAAGAACAGGAACAAGACAAGGTTTTTCACCACTCCTATTCAACATACTACTGGAAGACCTAGCCAGAGCAATGAGGCAAGGGAAAGAAATAAAAAACATCCATATTGGAAAAGAGTAAGTCACTTATCTCTGTTTGCTGTATATATAGATAGATGAATATATATTCAGAAATGAGGTCTCACTCTGTCATCCGGGCTGGAGTGCCATGGTGTGATTATAGTTCATTGTAGCCTTGGCCTCTTGGAATCAAGGGATCTTCCCATCTTAGGCTCCCAAGCTGCTAGGACTACAAACGTGCCACCACACTGAATAATGTTTTTGTCTTTTGTAAAGATGGAGTTTTGCCATGTTGTCCAAACAGGTCTCCAGCTCCTGGCCTCAAGTGATCATCCTGCCTTGGCCTCCTAAAGTGCTGGGATTTCAGGCATGAACCACCATGCCTGACCCCCAATATAATCATATCTAGAAAAATCTAAAGACTCCACTAGAAAACTCTTAGATTTTTTAAATGAATTCATTAAAGTTGCAGGATACAAAATCAATGCACAAAAATCAGTAGCATTTATATACACTAATAACAAGGTGACTGAGAAAAGAATCAAGAAGGCAATCCCATTTATAATAGCTTTAAAAAACAAGGAGTAAATGCAACCAAAGTGGTGAAAAATCTGTACAAGAAAAACGATAAAACACTGATGAAAGCAATTGAAGATGATACAAACAAATGGAAAAACATCCCAGGCTCATGGATCAGAAGAATTAATATCTTTAAAATGACAATACTTTTTCTCAAAACAATCTACAGAGTCAATGCTATCCCTATCAGAATACCAGCTCACTTTTCACAGAATTGTGAAAAACAATCCTAAAATTCATATGGAACCAAAAAAGAGTCCAAATAGCCAAAGCAATCCTGAGCAGGAAAAACAAAGCTGGAGATATCACATTATTAAATGATATTCAAATGATATTATAGGTTGGTGCAAAAGTAATTGCGGTTTTTGCTATTTCAGTAGAAAAATACTGCAATTACTTTTGCACCAAATGAATACAAGGCTATAGTAACCAAAACAGCATAGAACTGGTATAACAACAGACACATAAATCAATGGAATAGAGAAGAATCAGAAATAAACCCATATACATATAACCAACAGATCTTTAGCAAAGCTGGTAAGAACATACATTGTGGAAAGGACATCCTCTTCAATAATTAGTGCTGGCAAAATTGGAAACCCATATATAGAAAACTGAAACTGGATCCCTATCTCCCATCATATACAAAAATCAACTCATCATCAATTAAAAATCTAAACATAAGACCTAGAGTATAAAAATGCTAGAAGAAAACCTAGGGGAAACTTTTCTGGATATTGGTCTAGGCAAAGAACATATGACTAAGACAACAAAAGCACAGGCAACAAAACCAAAAATAGACAAATGGGACTTAATTAAGCTAAAAAGCTCCTGCACAGTGAAAGAAATAATCAACAGAGTGAAAAGACAAGCTGTTGAATGGGAGAAAATATTTGCAAACTATTCATCCACCAGAGGACTAATATCCAAAATACACAAGGGAGTCAAACAGTTCAACAACAACAACAAATAAATAATCCCATTAAAAATGGGCAAAGGGCTGGGCATGGTGGCTTATGCGTGTAATCCCAGCACTTTGAGAGGCAAGGCAGGAAGATTATTTGAGCCCAGGAGTTTGACATTAGCATGGGCAACGTGGTAAAACCCATCTCTACAAAAAATTAGCCAGACGTGGTGGTGTGCACCTGTAGTCCCCAGTTACTAGGGAGGCTAAGGTGAAAGGAACACTTGAGCCCACAAGCCAAGGCTGTAGTGAGCCATAATCATGCCATTGCACTTCAGCCTGGGCAACAGAGTGAGACCCTGTCTCAAAAAAAAAAAGAGAGAGAAAGAAAGAAAAGAAAAGGAAAGGAAAAAGTAAAAAGAACTTGGAAAAGGACACGAATAGAGATATTTTAGAAGACATACAAGTCCAACAGGTATATTTTTAAATGCTCAATATCACTAATCATCAGAGAAGTTCAAATCAAAACTACAGTAGGTATCATCTTACCCCACTCAGAATGGCTATTATGAAAAAGACAAAAAAAAAATAACATATTGGCAAGGATATAGAGAAAGGAGAACTCTTATACACTGTTGGCAAGAACGTAAATTAGTACAGCCTTTAAGGAAAACAGTATGGAGATTTCACAAATAACTAAAAATAAAACTACTATTCAGTCCAACAATCTCACTATTAGGTATCTACCCAAAGGAAAATAAATTAATACATCAAAAGATACCTTCATTTTTATGTTGTTTGCAGCACCATTCACAACAGCAAAATTATGGAATCAACCTACATATCAGTCCAATGGATGAATGAATAAAGAAAATACGGGATATATACACAATGAAATATAATTCAGCCATAATAAAGAAAGAAGTTATGTCTTTTTCAGCAACATGGATAAAACAGGATGCCATTATCTTAAGTAAAACAAGCCAGGCACAGAAAGACATGTAGTAGATGTTTACACTCATAAGTGGGTGCTAAAAAAAAATGTGTTCAAATGGACATAGAGAATGAAATGATAGATAATGGAGACTCAAAAAAGTGAGGAGAGGTGGGAGGGGGGAGAATAATGAGAAATTGGTTAATGGGTAAAATGTACATTATTTGGGTAATGGACATCCTAAAAACCCTGACTTGATCACCAATCCATGCCTATAACAAATTTGTACGTGTACTCTATAAATTTGTACAAATATTAAAAAAAGAAGAAATTCAAAGTATTGTCTTCCCAAGGTCTACAAATCAGAAGTTACATTTTTAAAAGATCACCGGAATAATTCGTAGGTACATTAAAATTTGAGAACACTGCTGTAGACAACTGAGTTAATACTGTTAGCCACAAAGCATCAGCGGATATTAGAATTGAAAAGAATTAACAAAGTTCAGGTTTTGGCGGTGTTCTCCAGTAGATTTGAGGGATTTCCTGAAGAAGTAGCTGTCACTTATTACATGAGTTTGAAAGTGAAGTTCCATCCATTTGTGCCTGCAGATATGGGTGTGTTCTGCTTATTTCTATTTTACTAGATTCTCTGTGTTCATGTTTTATTTGTATTCATGTTTTATTGAAATAAAGTAATACTGCTGAAAATTTTAAATCCTTGTATCACATAGCAATTCTGGGGTATTTCTTTTTTTTAATTCTAAAGGTTTTATTTGATTAGAGTACATATTCTTAAATTTCAGTTTCATGGGTTAAATAAGCTCTTTCAATCGTGAATTAGCAATGCCTTTAGTTTGGGGAGGAAGACTTAAATAACCATGTCAAAATAGGCAGAGGTGGTTTCTCCTTTTATATTTAAATCATAAAGCAAAACTCCACAGCAAAACTTCCTTCTTTTGCTAGTTTTAATTCATAAACCTCACTCAAAAGTCAACTTGACGTCACACTATAGAACACAATGCCATTTATTTTATTCCTATTTTAGAAACTATTGGAATCTCTCTTTTATACTTTGTTCAGGATTCATTATAGCATCTTATCAACTTTTAATATAGAACAGTGGTTTACTTTTATCATAAAACAGTGGTACACACATTCCAAAAGCAACAGATCAAATGTTTTGCCAATTATTTGGTCTTTAATATTTGTTTACACATATTCCCTTAAGAGCTTTAATTATTTATTCTTGTTTTAATGTATTTTCCTTATTAAAGATAAATATGTAGTATTTAATTCCCTCGATTTCTCAGTAATTTAAAGTAATATTTAATTACTTCTAAACAGTTTTATATAAGACTTTGCTATTTTGGAAACATTGCTAATTTGGTTCTCTCCTATCTGTCCAGAAGCAAGAACCACCTGAGAAATGTGATCCTAAACAAGAAAAGTCTCAGATATCTGGGAAGGAGGAAGAAACACCAGTCACCATCTTAGTATGTAATATTTTTCATGTACTATTGAAGAATGATATTTTCATGTACAAAGAATGATATTACCCAATTTAAAATTGAACTCCAATGAATGTCTGTTATCTTTATTGTCAAAATTATGATTTTACCTTCCAGATAATTAACATCAAGATAAACTCCAGATAAAGATTAACATCAAGATAATATCCAGATAAAATAACTGGTAGATCATTTTCAGCCATGCCTCTTATAATCAAAAACTCATTTATCCCTTAAAAATAAAATCTTATTTTTCAAGATTGTTAATGGATGGAAAATCTCCCTATGGGGAAGGGCAGACAGAACTCACAGCCCCAGTTGTGATGTTTCAGATTCATCTTCCACTTTGGGAATTTTTCACTAATTGATGCTGTCACCACTATACAATAGCAAACATTCAGAGATAACAAAAGAAAAGTCACAGGGAATTACATACAGCCAAAATAATGGCTTTACAACAATGTGGCTTATTCATCTTCCATGCATAACCCTCTACAAAAATGCCTCTGTGCCTGAAGTACTACATCCAAGCAGTCAAGACATAGAGAAGTCCACCCTCAAAGATACCTATATTCAGTGGTGTGCTAGAGCCAGCTCTCAAGAGACAATTGTGCACATTTCTACCCAGGCTCATGTTCAGTAATGTCACTTTAATAACTTGAATCATCCACAATGAGAATTTTAAGACCATGGCAAACACTGCAAATCTGGGCTTTGTTTTTTTCTGGAGAGCCAGTTGTTAAAACACTTATCAGTACATGATTGTTTATATTCTTCATAGTCCAGACTCTTGTGGACTAGGCCTCATAAGGAAAAAAAACTCACTCTCTACAATGTCGAAGTTCAAACTTCTGAGTTCCTTTTTATGTCTCAGGTCCCAGGTAGTTGCCCAGTATCTGGCACCCAGAATGGATATCCCCTCAAGGAATACCCTACTTCCTACCTAGTAATGCATGAATTTTCCCTATAAGATGTACAGGTTATTCCAGAATTATATCAATACAACCCAATAAGCCTAACATTAAGATGTAACAGGAAGTCAAGGAAGAAGGGAGTTTTATTTCCTTGCATCTTTCATAGATGCTCTTACACAGGTTTTCATGAGTTTGAATAGGGATCTCATTGATTTCCAACTTGAGTGTTTCCATTTGCCTGTATTAGGATGTCATCTCAAAGAATTTAGTACCATTCTGTTTGCATTTAAAAGTTTGAGCTAGATTTGTCTCATTGTTTATAATGGGGGGACTGGGAGCTTGAGAAACCCATTAATATGAGATTGAGTAAATATTAAATAAAAGTACATCAGTATAATATAATACAATGATGTCATAAAAAAAGAATGGGCTGAGTTATACACTGACTAATAATACAGAAAAAGAGAACCAAGATATATTGTTACATGGAAAAAGTAGCTGCAGAACTCTGTGATTAGCATGATCTCATTTTTAAAATAAAAAGGCATATATATACCACATGAATATATTTGCATATGCAGAAATTTTGGAAGGATATAGATACTCAACTCATAATAATGGGTATCTCCCAGGAGCAGGATTTGAATAGGGGGAGAAAGCTTTCACTGCCGATGACATTTGAGTTTTTAAAGTGTATACATATCATTTCTATAATATTTAAAGATATATTAAAAGCTATATATTTATTCAGTTGTACACTAATGATTCATACATTTTACTATCTGTAAATTTATACCTAAAAATTTATACCCTTTTTTTTTTAAAAAAGATGGTATGTGCCAAAGTTCAACAAACCATGTTAAAACTGACTTTACTGGACTAAATGGATTTCTCTTTGGCACTTCACTTTAAATGTATGACTTTGATTAGCTAATCATTTAGAAATTGAGAAGTTATTCTAATTTATTGTATGTAATTATGATTATTTTTAGATATAACATTTATTATTATTCTTAACATTTTTACCATGCCTCAAGGATTCTTTATTGTCCCTCCCCAACCCCCCAAAATAATACCTATTTAAGGAAACTGAAATAGGCACTATTCTGGGGGAAGGAAAGTTGGCAATGATCTTTTGTTGCTGAGACATATTAAAGAGTGACAAAACAAAATGCCTGCTATTTTGGCATTTGCCATTCGGTGCATATACAATGTGACAATATATGAAAGTCCCTCAGGAAGCAACAGATCTCAGATAGTTGCATCCCTAAATTGATTAAATTTTATGCATTTATTTTTATGGCATCAAAACTACGGCATGTTTAAAGAGTCTGTTACTTTTTCTACTTTCAATGAAGGACTCTTCTGAGGAAGATAAAGAAAAAGAAGAGGTTGCTGCTGTCAAAATCCAAGCTGCCTTCCGGGGACACATAGCCAGAGAGGAGGTAAAGAAAATGAAAACAGATAGTCTTCAAAATGAGGAAAATGAGGAAAAAGAGGAAAACATGTGAGGACACTGTTTTTACCTCCAGGAAACATGAAAAATAATTCAACTCCATTAATGTTCTTGTTATTGTCTTTTTTTCCTGAATAAGGAAGATTAGATGTTGTGAAATAACATTTGTTGCTGTTGTGAAAATCTGTCATGAGCATTTGTTTAATAAGCATACCATTGAAACATGCCACTTGAAGATTTCTCTGAGATCATGAGTTTGTTTACACTTGTCTCAAGCCTATCTATAGAGACGCTTGGATTTAGAAGTATAGAACTAAAGTATCTGAGATTACAGAGATCTCAGAGGCTATGTGGTCTAACCATTACCAAATAAATAAATCCTCGCTATCACATCCCCCAAAGATGTTCTTGAGCTCCTGTTTCACTCCTAGTGATAAAAAATTTCACTGCTTTTTAAGGATAGTCCATTTAAATTTAGAATTTTTAGAAAGATAAGCTGGGTCAAAACTCTGCCTCCTTCAGCCTGGCCAACATGGTGAAACTTCATCTCTACTAAAAATACAAAAATTAGCCAGACATGGTGACATGCGCCTGTAATCCCAGCTACTCAGGAGGCTGAGGCAGAAGAATCACTTGAACCCAGGAGGCGGAGGTTGCAGTGAGCTGAGATTGTGCCACTGTACTCCAGCCTGGGCGACAGAGGAAGACTCCGTCTCAAAAAAAAAAAAAAAAAAAAAAAAAATCTGCCCCCTTGTAAATTTAACTCACTTGTTTTCATTTATCATACATGCGTTCGATTATTTATTGAAAATGTATTGAGCACTATTTATGTGCTGGGAATTAGTAGTGAATACTGTTCTTACACTTACACAACTTACAATTTTTTATTGTTTTGCTCTCCAGAACATCACATTGGAAAACGCAAAAGCTATCATATCATGCTGTCTTCTTCAGTTAAAACTTCCCAAGTTTTTTTAATATACAATGGTATATTAGAAAAGTATACAAATGGTAATGCCTATTTTACAAACTCAGAGGCCTTATATCTTATTTGAATGGTTCACTGAACCATTCAAATCCCCAGTGCCTTATTTTTAGAAAGTTCAGTCTCTCCCTTTTGAGGCCCCTCCACCCTTGATTGTCTAAGAAACTGAGGGTTCATGTCTTAGACCAAAAGGTGCAGTTCTCTTCCCAATACGAAAGGTAGAAACTGCAGTCTTACCATTTAGTTAATGTTGTTGCCTTCTACCGTAATGTTGTAACATAGTCCAGCAGACTGAGGTGATTCTCTGGCTGGTTCCAATTCCTGCCTGCACCATAGTGGATGGTCCGTGATTTAGTTCCAGGATTACATCTCTCTTCATTCATAGTTCCACAACCATTGTTCCCAAAGCTCAAAAACAAGGCGGGATGGCCCAGTCCTGAGGAGTTTCTAAAACTAGGTATATGTTATGTCATAAATAATACTCTTCTACAAACACTTTGATCCTTGTCATAGGCTTAGATGTACTCTTTCTCCAAAGCAGTTTTATTTCAGGTGCCTCACTGCCCATTCCTGGCACTGAGCCTTTATCAGGCACTGCAACAGAGGTTCACCCAAGAGATCTCCACTCAAACACAGTTGATTCACACCAACCCTTTTAAGGTTATGGCATTCATTCTCTAATGTGCACTCATACAGGTGGCCTTTCTCCTTCTAAAGTCTTGCTACCACTATAAAGAATTTCATGATAGCTAAATACAAGTCTCTAACATCCTCCTTAACCCCTCTCCTCTTGGCTTAGAGAGGAAAAGAAATCAATCCTCCAGGATTCCAGCTGCTCATCCCTCCCATTCCACTGAAAGCACCAGCTTCCAACACCTTCCCCTCCTGAACAAAGCCATCCTGCTTAGAGGATTATCAAGGGGGACCCAGAATTTATGCAAAGATTTAGATTCCCTGACCGGGAGAGGAGACCAGAGAGAAAAAGAGATTTTTTTTTCCATAGTGAATATATAGCAGGAAGAAAAAAAGAAATGAGTTAGCTTTTTCAGTAATTCTCTTGTTATACACATAAAGTAACTAACACTCTGCGTTCCATACACATACACACGCACACACGCATACATCTAGTGGTGGTGATATTTGTAGTGAAGGAGAAAAAGGAAAATTTGAGCAATGGATGTGATATTATGACAACAACACATATGAATGACACTTTCTTAGAACTTACCTGGTTTTCCTCTTATCTCTCTGGCTGTTCCTTCTCAATTCCCTTTCCTGGTAACTCTTCAACTCCCCAACCACTGAATACTAAGTGCGCTTATGCTCAGTCTTTTGACCCCATTTCTATACTCACTTGATTTCCTGCAGTCTTATAGCTTTAAAATCCTTGTTCTTAATGATTACTCCCAGACCTTTCTCTCCTCTGCCTGAGAACTTCTATATCGATATTCAACTGCCTATATGACATCCCCATCTGGATGTCTATAGGCATCTCAAAAGTAACATATCAAAAACGACTCCTGATGTTGTCCCCAAATCTGAAACTTTCTCACACCCAAGTTTTTCCATTCAAAAATGGCTGCTCCAGTCTTCCATTTCCTTGGGCCAAAAACCTTGAATTCATCTTTAATGCTTCACTTTCTTTCACACCCCATATACAATCTATCAGCAAAACCTGTAGGCTGTACCTAGAAAATAAATTCAAAATCTGCCTACTTCTCACCACTTTCATTGTTACCACCTTGGTCCTAGTTCATATGATGTCCTTGTGAATTATTGCGATAACCTATACTGGTCAGTGATTGTCTCACTACTGCTGCACAACCCATTCCAAAGTCAGCGCTTTAAGACAATTATCTTTTCTCCTGGGTCTGTAGGTCAGTGGTAATATAGCTGAGCTAGGCTGGACTACAACCTCGAGGCTCGCTTTGGGTTTGTGGGCTGACAAGAGGAAGGTCTGCTTCAGGCTGTGGGCCCATGGGTCAACTGCAGCACAGCGCCTCTGCTTCACATGTCCTATTCTGAGCCCATGCTGAAAGATATTATCCAGGACAAGCTCTTCTCATGCTGGTCACAGAAGACAAACAGGAAAACCCAGCATTCAAGAGTACTTCAAGCTTTTGCTAATAATATCACTTCCACTGACATCCCATATTTAAAAAAAAAAAAAAAAAAGTCATCGAATGAAGCCCAAAGAGGATGAGGAAATACACTGTTCACCATGTATGCATAATACTACTACAGAGTAGTGAAGAATTGGGACCAGTAATTTAATCTGCTTTCTTGATTATATCTTTCCCACATGCAAACTAGACCCACTTCTATTCCAAAACCCCTGAAAGTTCCATCACATCTTTGAAGTCCAGGATCTCATGGTCTACATCAGGTCCAGATATAGCTCTTCTTGACATAGAGACCTATGAATTAAAACTGCAAGTATCTTTTTCTCGCATACCAAACATACAACAAATGATGGATTAGCGATGATAATAACCACAAAAAAAATACCCTTATTCACAGAGGAGAAAAATGGAGGCAGATTATAGCCACTGGTCCATAACAATTAGGAAATCTCGCTGGACAATGGTTGTCAGGTTTCTCTATTGGAGGGAATTACGTTTCATGATTAGGCACTGATTCTGCTCCCTAAGAATGATTTTCCAGTCTATCTTCCACAGCTCTTGGTTCTACACTCTAGGGAATCATTCTTTTACCCTCATCTTCCTTAGTCACTTGCAAAGGACATTAGAGAATATGCCCTTTTTGGTGGATAAATGGGTTCTTCAACCTGCTTTTTGCCTGTAGAAAATTAGAGCCCAATAATCTGTTTATATCCTCTAGAGTGTCAATCTCTTTCAGCTGGTACTGGTACTTTTGCCAATAAAGTTCTTTTTTAAACTTCATGGATTTCCTATGAATTTGACTGTAGTCAAGTCCATGTGCCAAAAGATGTGGTGCACTCACAATTTCTTTCAAGATATACCTTCTTTTGTGTCTCTCTCTCTCCAATACTATTAAGAGTGAAATTGAAACCAATATTTCAATATATAAAGGCTTCTATCATAACTGCTGAGCATTCACTATCCCTTCTTCTCCCAGCTTCCACCTTATATTACTCAGGGTCTCCAGAGAAACAGAGCCAATAGGATATATATAGATATATGACTAGGAATTTATTATGGAAATTGGCTCATGCACTTGTGGAAGCTCAGAAGGCCAACAATATGCTATGTGCATGCAGAGAACCAGAGAAACCAGTGGTGTGATTCCGTCTGAGTCTGAAGGCCTGAGAACCATGGAAGCCAATGGTGTAGCTCTCAGTCCAAGGCAAAAGCCCTGATAACCAGGGAGGGGGGCTGCTGGTGTGAGTCCTGAAGTCTCAAGGCCCAAGAACCAGCACCTCTGGTGTCCAAGGGCAAAGAAAAATGGATGTCCTAACTCCAAAAGAGAATTTGCCCTTCCTCTGCCTTTCAGTAGGTACTGGTACTTTTGCCAATAAAGTTCTTCTTTAAACTTTGTGGACATCCTATGAATTTGACTATATTCAACTCCATGTGCCAAAAGGTGTGGTGCACCATTCCCAAGAGAAGTTATCCTTCCTCTACCTTTTTGTTCTACCCAGGTCCTCAATGTAGTGTGCCCACATTGATGAGGGCAGACCTTCTTAGTCTACCAATTCAAATACTAATCTCTTCCAGAAACATCAGCTATCTGAGCATCCCTTATTCAGTCAAGTTGTCACAAAAAATGAAGCTTCACATGCCTTTTCCCCTTTTCAATACATCAGCCAGAGTATCCTATTATTATTTAAGTCACATCATGTCATTCCTCTGCTTAAAACCCTCAATGGCTCCTCATTTCACTCAGAGTAAAAGTCTTCCTTATGGTCTACAAAGCTCTCTGCAGATCTTTCCTCCTGTTACCTCTGACCCCCATATCACTTGTTCACTTGGCTCCAGCCACTCTGACCTCAAAGCTCTTCCTCAGACATTCCAGGCATGTTCCTGTCTCACGGATTTTGCATATGTTGTTCCTTCTGCCTGGAGTGCCTTTCCCCAAGCATTGCTCCATTCCTTCACGTCTTTAGTCAATGAGCAAGTCAGTGAGACCTTCCATGAACCACTCCTCCTATCTAAAATAGCTTTTTAAAAAAGCACTCCTCTTCCTCCTTTTTATTTATCTCCTTAGTTCTGGACACCATCTAATATATCTTGTTCACAGCCTGCTTCCCTCAGTAAAATCTATGCCATGAAGATAGAGATTTGTTATTCTGTTCACTGCCTAGTGCCTTTTTTACATGCAGTGGGAAGGAGTGAATCACTTCTAGTGGCTCATACAGAAGTTGAAGGAGCCCTAGCAAATCTCCTTCAATCTAATTAGCTTTGATTGGGTAATACATCTCTCCTTGAATCAATTATTGAGGCTGCGGGAAAGGAATGTGCCCATAAGTTTATGCATGTGACTAACAGAACCTGTCCCTGGAGTAGGTCAGTTCTGCCCAAAAATATTTAGCTGAAAGTAGAGGAAATTTGAAGTCTCCTATAGGAAACAGAGGAATAGAGGAATGTTGTCAACCAACAAATATCCACCACAATGCTTTAATCACCACATGGCTTCTCACTACACTGCATTTGTGAATTATTCATCAAAACCAAAGATGAGAGAAGTATCAAGACTAAGAGGAAGAAAAACGAAACAGCATGTGAGGGGTTAAGAAGACATGGGAATGTAGAAATTTAGGTAGCCTGCCACATAAATTGCAGTGCTAATGGTGCTTCCTGGAACTATGCAATGCAAAAAGGAGCAAAAGAAAGAGCTTTGGGTGCACCCTTCAATAGCTCAACTGGTAGAGCAGAGGACTATAGAGTGTATAGAAGGAATTTTGGGTCTAGGATAATATGAAAAATCATGAGAGAAAAGGAGAACTTGAACTGTTTTAGAAATATATGCAAAATTTTTCTCTGTGGGAAGCTAAGTGTGAGAGTTTGTCAACATGAATTTTTCATAAAACATTCTTATGAACACTGTACCTATGGAGAAGGAGTCTCCTGTCGAGATCATCAAGCAGTTCTTTTTAATAGACACAAACCCAGCATAATTTGGAGGGAATTTTTCTCTGTTCCATGGTGACATGAAGCTCAGTCAAACAATGTCTCTGTGATCCGAGATGAACCCAGGATAAGGTCTCGAATTGTCACTGTCATTCTGTCTCTAAGCTATTACATCATTCACTTTCTTTGTTCTAAAGCAAACTAAACAGTAATTTCCCCAATTCCTCAATAAAATTAACTCAACAGTTTCTATACCTCAAAACAACTTGAGCTTTCCCTTTTTATATGCTTTCAACTTTTATTATAGATTAGGGAGTACATGTGCAGGTTTGTTACGTGGGTCTATTGTGTGACACTGAGGTTTGATTCTGTCACCCAAGTAGTGAGCATGGTACCCAATAGTTGATTTTTCAGCTCACTTCCTACTCTTTTCTTCCTGGTCTAGTAGCCCCCAGTGTCTATTTTCCCCCATTTTTATGTCTATGTGTATTCAATGGTTAGCTCTCACTTATAAGTGAAAACATGCAGTATTTGGTTTTCTGTTCTTATGTTAATTTGCTTAGGAAAATGGCCTCCAGCTTCATCCATTTTGCTACAAAGGACATTATTGCACTCCTTTTTGTGGCTATGTAGTATTCCATGGTATATATGTACCACATTTTCTTTATATAATCCACTGTTGAAGGGCACCTAGGTTGATTCATGTCTTTGCTATTGGGAACAGCACTGCAATGGATATACGAGTGCATGTCTTTTTGATAGAATGAATAATTTTCCTTTTGGTACGTATCCAGTAGTGGAATTGCTGGGTGAATGGTAGTTCTGTTTTAAGTTCTTTGAGAAATCTCCAGTGCTTTCCACAGTGATGAACTAGTTTGCATTCCCACCAAGAGTGTATAAGCATTTTCTTTTCTTCTCAGCCTCACCAGCATCTGTTCTTTTTTTACTTTTTAATCATTGCTATTCTAGCTAGTGTGAGATCTGTCTCACTGTGGTTTTGATTTGCATTTTTCTGATGATTAGAGATGTTGAAAATCTTTTTCATATGTTTATTGGCTGCTTGTACATCATCTTTTGAGCAGTGTCTGTTCATATCCTTTGCCCATTTTTAAATGGCTTATTTGCTTGATTTGTTTTTGGTTTGTTTGTTTGGGGTCTTCTTTTTCTTTTTCTTTTTTTTTTTTTTTTTTTTTTTTTTTTT